TGCCTCATTGAAGGGGCGCAGGGAACTCGGGACCATTTCTTTTATTTGGTTCCTCATGGTGCGAAATATGGGGTAGTATATTTTAAGCCGCTACCACGGCAAGGTGCCGAGTCTGTGGTATTGGCTTGTCGCTCATTTAGCACCACCCGGGGGACACGTGTAGGATGAGTCTAGGAATAGGTGGTCAAAGCCTACGGACGTGAGCGACATATCCCCTGCTACAATTATTGTACGAGTAAACATCCCAGCTTAGAACTATTATTGTACCATTACCATAATAGGCTATCAAAAGTCCTCGTTTGAACAAGGCCTCTCCCATAGATTGCCTTATTGGGGGGATATTTGCTATAATTGTCACGCTTGGCTGGCGGGTTGGAAACCGAATTTTTATTTTAATTTTTAGTTCTTAATAGAAAAACGCTTCTGGTAATTCCTGGTTTGTTTCCCTCTGTCGCCTCTTACGACACAGAGTATGTAAACGCGTATTATGGGAAGGGCGGCAAAATTCCGCTCAAGCCTACAACTGCTCGGGGCAAACGGAGCAACAAGACCAAGGCAACCCCTGACACGCTATCCATGATTTTCTGCAATATCAGGGGACTTCACTCTAACCTAAACGCCGTCCACTACCGGCCTATCGCCATCACCTCCTTGTTCTCCAAAACAATGGAGTCCGTTGTAAACAAACAATGGAGTCTGTCAGCTCATGAGGTACCTTGAGGATCACTAGCTGGTTAGTGATCGCCAATATGGATTTCGTCGTGTTCGATCAGCTGGTGATCTTCAAGTCTACCTAACTCATAGATGAGTGGAGGCAGTAGAGTCCAAGGGGGAGGCATTGGCCGTTAGTTTGGACATTGCGAAGGCCTTCGATCGGGTTTGGCACAAGGCGCTTCTTTCGAAGCTCCCTTCCTACGGGCTTCCCGAGAATCTGTGCAATTGGATCACCAGCTTTCTTGCAAATCGGAGCATCAAGGTCGTTGTAGACGGTGCAAACTCCGATTACAAGCCTATTAATGTTGGCGATAGCCACAAGACTGCGTGCTATCGCCAACGCTGTTTCTTCTGCATATCAATGATATGTTGCAAGCCGGTAACGTTCGTTGCTATACAGATGACAGCACTCGTGATGCTCTGTGCACCGGCCGTGCCAATATTTCTCGGGAAAACGTCTCCGGGTACAGGGAAAAACTTGTGTCTGAAGTAGAGTCTTTGCTGAACAAAGTCTCGGATTGGGGGCAACTAAATCTGGTCCAGTTTAACCCTCAGAAGACACAAATTTTTAGAAGAACCCCTTTGTCGTATCTCCTCAGTTTCAAGGCACACCAGCTCACTCAGCCAGTATCAGAATCCTCGGCATCAACATATCGAGTGACGTGCAGTTTCGTGGTCACTTGGAAGAGAAGGCCAATTTGGCCTCAAAAAAGCTTGGCGTGCACAGCAGAGCGGGACAGTATTTCATGCCGGCACACAGCCTGCAACTTTACAAGGCGCAGGTTTGGCCGCACATGGAATACTGTTCCCATCTCTGGGCTGGGGATTCCCAATGCCAGCTCCTTCCACTTGACCGCATTCAGCGTAGAGCGGCACGAATCGTCGACGACCAAGTGCTTTCCGATCGGCTCGATTCACTGGCGCTACGAAGAGATGTTGTATCTCTTTGCATTTTCTTTGACATATACCACGGGGAGTGCTCTGAGGAATTGTTCGGATTATTCCCATCCACCAAATTTCGTGAACGCACTACGTGGCAAACGTCCCGATAACATTCACACCATCTGGATGCTTGGTGGTCCACCACTGTACGTTTCAGAAGGAGTTTTCTACCGCGTACAAACTCTCTGTGGAATAGTTTACCGCCGGCGATTTTTCCTAACCGATACGACCTAGGGACCTTCAAGAAGAGCTTACTACTTTCTATAGGGCCGGCAACGCACCTGCAATTCCCTTGATGTTGCGGTTGATCATGGGCGGCGGTAGTCACTTAACATCAGGTGAGCCGTAAGCTCATTTGCCCCCTCTTCTATAAAAAATAAAAATAAATAAAATTAAACCTAGGACGATATGGGTAGTGGATATTCTTATACCGCCTTTATACGGTCGTTGTACATCATTATTGTAACTCTACGACCACTTTTAACTTATTTTCAATTTCCCTTCCTTTTTGCACGATGAAATTCCTTCGCATACCAGTTAGATTAAAGACGGTTTATGTCGTATTCGCTTAGAAAGACCGAGTAGAAAATTAAAGTAAACAAAAACGAGTCAACCATTTAGTGTCGATGTAAGAATATCCACTGTCCCATAGTGTCCCGTGAGGGTCATAGGAGATGACGGAGGGAAACTGACACAGGAGATGCACAGCAGCATCTTCCTGATAACAACTCAACATTATTAAAACACACTTAAAACAAAAACAAAAACCATTGAAACCTTTATTCAGCAGTGGACTATTATAGGCTGCAATGGAACGGAAAACGAATACTTTTATTGACAATTTCAAATGGTGTTTTTAGTAAATTAAAATTATAACGACGGCATTCCCACTCACATCTCACCTTAGTTATACCGTTACCGTTACAGCCTATTAAAGTCCACTGCTGAACATAGGCGCACCCCTTAGATTGTCTCACAGGCATATTTGCCATTGTTGCCAAGCTTTATAATCGGGTTGGCAATCGCAGCTTTTTATTTAAGTGGTTATTAAGAAAACACTGCCGCCCTGATATCCTGATTTGTTTCCCGCTGTACTACTATAAGCAAAATAGTAGCCACAAAAATAAAATTAATAAATACACAACGTCTGTTTTATTGATGTCCACAATTATTTACAACAAAGTTTTTATTGGATCGTATCCATAAAGACAATATGCACAGCAGATGTATCATTGTTTCATTTTACACAAAAGAAAACTTACGCCTTACTTCATACATTTTTTTCATTCAAGTATTTACATGAGCTCCTATTCATGAATATATTATTTGTTACATTTGTTACTCTGTTGTTATGCTTAAAGCGTTATTATATAACAATTTAACAAATCTTGGTAAAGTGCATGATGCGAAAAGCTATTTTACATTTATTTTACCAACGATCACGGAATAAGGGTAAGTGAATTTTTAATTTAGATATACGATTACATAATATTGTCAATCAGTTCATATATAACCGTTAATATAAGTAAATTAATGAAAATAAAATGCGTTACCCTGTTAATATAGCGATTATCCCTTCTTCAAATTATGAAGGATATTCTTACGACTTTGTACAGATAATAAACTTTATCATATAAACATAGGTAATGCAAATATGTAGACTGCAAATAATTTTGTTTCGTATATATTTAATTTAACTAAAATAATTTATTTATTGATCATAAAAAATGTAATTTAAAAATCACGTTCTATTATGTGACATGCAATAACTTTATAAATACACAATATAATTTTTGAAAACAATTTAGCAACAATAGTAAAATGTATTACTAAGAACCTCAAAGATATAATTAAAATATTTTATGTATCACGTTTTATGTCTATTAAAAATAATCAACCATAGGCCAAAATTTGCATTTTTTTCCCTACTTTACCAACATAAAATCATATGAAATATAGAGGAGGATATTTATAATTTTATCTATAATTAATTACAATTTTCAAACCGAACATTTCAGTAACTAAAATATTTTAAAACGCAAACACTTTTTACGTTATTTTGTAATACACAAAAAGCCAATTTTCAAATTGTATTTCACTAAAGTTTTCTGCAATTTTTTTCAGTTTCAAGATGCGATTTAGGTCAATATGACTAGACGTATAGCTGTAACACTTGGAATATCACCCGGTGGATATATTTTCAGCCTGTTACCTGTAACAAAATATGTTTTATTTTTCTTTTGTGACGTTCACTTTAAACATACATTAGAGATATTTACAGAATACCAGCGTAAAAGAGCTGCTGTTCGAATGAGGTGTGTAGAAAACCGGAGGCCCTTTTTACTGCATTCGGGCATTTCATATTAGTTCCTAAGGTTAACAAGCACAGAAATCTTAATAGAGAGCCTTATTAATTAGATTTCTGTGGTAAAAATTCACCAATAATTTGAATTGTTATAGAAGATAAATGGAGATGTCTATGGGCTACGGTATCAATTTTACACCATTACGTGAACTGTGTGCTCGTTTGTGACCATTATTCTATATAAAAAAAGTCAATTCTATTATAATAAGTGGAATAATTATTGAGCGACAGTAGAATAGGTATGTTGCAGACCGCGACTTGAAAGCTCATGGGTTCGAACCACCATTTGACTACTGTCGCGAACACCTCCCAACCCAAGCATTATATGCTTGCCTGGTAATAATATTATTACAGAATTCGTTGTAGACAAAAATATATGGATTAGAGATTTTCAACTGTGCGTTAAGTAACCATGAACCGGGTTAGTACGACCCTCTTACTTATTTCTGCTGCCAAATAGCGGCACAGTAAAATTACACTCTCTGAGGTATTTAATCTTAGTGCTTAGAGTTGACCTTTGTTTGAAGTTGGCTGCAGGTGTCCATGGGCTGCAGCAGTACCTTCCCATCACTTACTATCGGGTGGTACAGTAGTCACGCATTAGCTTATAATCGTTCAAATAGCGTTAGGTGTCTGTGTTGTAGCAGTCATTTATTATAGGTTCTCTGCTTATTGTTGTGACAAAAATAGATGTAAAAGCGATTAACAGTATTTGCATTTAATTTATAACAAACAGTACAAAAACTCATATAGTTTTGAAGAATTTCGATAGATAGATAACTCTTTTCTGTACACCAAAACAATGGGCGGTCTTATCGCTAAAAGCCATTTCTTCTAGACCTTCGGATGGACAAGATCGCAAAACGCAAAAAATTGTGTGCGACTCTAAAAATAAGAGTGATTTAGTGCAGTATAATATCTATTATTACCTTAAAATGCTTCCTATAATGTTTTCATTTGACTGCCAGTAACGCCAGAGCTAAAGCTGGTAGCAAAACCAATGCTGTAACTGTGCATGTACTTGTTCCTGAAAATAAAACAAATTATGTAAAAATAGTTTAACATCAACACAGAATAATCATAAGTGCTGGTTTAACTCGTTAGTTCTCAAACTTTTCTAAGCTACAGTAACCTACAAGTTAACTGTAAAGGTTACAATACTTACGTCATTACTTACGTGGTAGAGCCACGCCTCAGTTTTAATGTAAATGTACCACGAATGGGTTTGATCTGGGAAGCACTACGCACTTTCACATTATTTTTACACTAGTCTACTTCACAGTAGACTAGTGTAAAAGGGCAGAATAATGCTGCTGTGTTTCCCTGGGTTACTTTAGAGAACAATAGATTTATTTATTTTTTAATAAAAAAAGAGGTATTCTATCTATGTCCTCTCTTGGTGACAACACATTTGAATTTTGATTCTTAATCGATGTAGCAGGACCATCTGGTGAACTGTGTGATTGTTTGTAACCTTTATTTCATTAAAAAAGTGTTGGAGAATCTCAATTGTCTTAATACCTCCTTCAGATAACAATTAATATACCTACTTATACTCTATATATTATAGACTTAATTTGATATAAAAAATAAACATAAAAAAATGTGGTGATGAAAACATAAAAAGTAACAGCGAACACGTTTATAGATAAATTTTTACTACTGGGTCTCAGTCTTTCTAATTTCTTGCCAGAAATTGTTCATTCCTGGTGGTATAACTGTTTTCCTTCCTAAGATTCCTCTCCTTTCTGCCGCTAAACAGCATTGCGTACAGTACATAATAACGTGCAGGGTGTAGCGGGCCGATATACACGCTATTAAGCATTCTGTGTTAGTATAATAGCGTACCGCATCTGTAAGCTTCTTTCCGTTGCATGTGTCTATTGGCAGCAATAACCATTTACCGTCAGATGGATTGTAAAACCATTTGTCACTTCAATGTTGTAATAAAAAAGTAAAATTTTATTAAATTATACAAAACCCATTGCTCTGTTCTGGTGTGAATGCTCTGCTTAAAAAACCAGCATGGCTGCAAGCTGCAAGGCATTTTATCTTAGTCCTCGTGGGTAACAAACCATCTGTGGTCTTTTTTGCTTAGAGTAATTGCAGGTGTCAATGAGATGACGAAGCCACTTAAAATAAAATGGACTGTTAACTCGTGTGTTGCTCCCCCCATAGATTGCCTCAAGCGGGGGGGGGGGGGGATATTTATCATAGATAACACACTTTGCAGGCGGGTTATCAACCGCAGTTTTTATTATTTACTGTTTACCGGGAAGATACTGCTGCCCATCTCCTGTTTTATTTCTCTTTGACACCCTCGGGGTGATATGGGCTAGTGGATTCACATGCGCCTGCATTAATGTAAATAATTTATATATTAAACTTGTGAGAGGTGTAGTGGGCTAGTTAGTTACTAACAATATGAAGTAAAATAAAATCAATAATGTATGAAATAAAAACAATTTAGAAATCAATCTATCTAGGCATCGCAAGCGTTTCCTTTTATATATAATAAAAGGTGCTAAACACTCGGCACAACGACCAGTACCGCCCTTGACATCAAAAGACATAAATGATTTACTACTAGATGAAAATAAAGAAATGTAAGTGAAAAAAAAAAACCGGATAGTTAAAGGACCTGCATAGTTTATAAAGTCCCTTTTGTATTTATAAGTTGAAAATTTGATTCTACCACAATAACACTAAAATTCTTACTTCCGATACGTTTTTGAGTAACTTGCTGGAATGTTAGCAAGTTTATTATTTTACATGTGAAAGTATCAATCAACACAATCATTTTAAAAAAGTGAAAGATAACTACTAAAAAAAAGATATGAATTTTTGAAGCACCATCGACTGAAAATACTAAAAAATACAAAAAAAAATGTAATTTGAAAACTACAAACATTCGAATAACATACATGGAGTGTTTTCGGATATTTACCCCTGGCCGTGAAGAATTAAATTTTTTATTTTGGATTGTTTGGACCATTCTGTATAACCCGCCGAGCCAGTAATTTTGTGTTACCTGCCATAAGAACCAACTATGGTAAAAATAAAATAGCATTTGGCAAGCACAGTTATAAAATCAACTTGCAAAACATGTGAAAAAAGCAACTTCGATCAATATTTTTTTTTTTCAATATTATTTGGGTATATTTATATTGACGAAACTATGCATTAAAATTAACTTTGATCACCATCTTAGAGTTAGAAAGGAATACAATGAACTCGTTTCTTGGTTGACGATCGACCGACGTATTTTTTACTACCCGAACGCACTTAAATTATAAATATTATCATAATTTTAATATAGATATTACTGTTATCATGTGACAATTGTCTTAATTAAAAATAAAGTTCTTTAAACCGAAGTAGGTCAGTTGGTGACCGACCATGAGCATTGGTACCAGTTACCTTTTATGTGGACTATAAGTTCAAACCACATAAGTTTTGGCAGGGTTAGGTCTCACTGAAGAACGTTCGGCGCGGCGGAATGCTCATCATAAAAGGTCATGCTCACGCACGCACACACACGCGCACGCTCTTACATTAAAGGTTTATGATTATACATACATAATATTTCTCACCTTCAGAGCCAATAACTGCAGCGAGTTGCATGTCAGCCGCTGTCGGCATTTCAGGTGTTGTGCTCATGGGCCCTAATGAGAAAAACACATGTTTATAAAATAAATATATTGTAAAGTATAATGTTGGTTTTCCTGTATTGAATTCCTTTTTTTTGTGATTTTATAAACAATATATATAATGTTCATATCAACGACGTTCATATCATTGACGTAGCTCTCAGACTAAGCGTTCACCAAAAATATCACGATTCGATCCTGGCCAGCACCAAAAAAATGGTAATTTCAATAATTTTTTTTATTATCATAATTTTTTTAAAGAGCTCTTTGCCACGTGCTTGGCGATGAAGGATAACATTATACGGAAGGACAAACTGAAATGATCGGGAATAGAATATTTCGGATTGAGTTACAATAAAACCTTTTTTTAGAATTTGAATACTGGCCTCTTAGAATCTTAACGAAAGTCAAACAATTAAAAAAAATGTCTAAAAACAAAAACTATGTTGGTGTAAAGTTTAGACGTCATTAACAGAAATGGGGCTCACGCGTGAACATTTCCGTGTCATAATTTATCACAATTTTCGTCGCGGCTTATCTCAAGATAAATGTCTCAGCGAACTTGTTTCGATTTATGATGTTGAAGCACCGAGTCAATCGACAATATATCGCTGGTATGCAGAGTTCCGACGCGGTCGTATGTCGCTCAGCACTGTTTTTTCTGCAGGTCGACCAAGAACAGCGTGACCGCCTAAAAACTTCGCAAACTATTGTGTTAGATGACCGTCATGTGACATACGAGCAGATTCGGGCTGTTATCAGTATTGGAATGACTGCAATTTAGTCGATATTACATAATGAACTGTGTTTAAAAGCTAGTTTCCCTCTGGGTTCCCCACAATTCGTCCGAAGAGCAAAAAGGCGGCTCGTGTAGATTGCTGCTGGAATACTCAGCAACGCTTCAACGGAGGGAAGTCAAATGCCGTTCATAATATGGTCTTGAAGGAAAACATCAGCCAGCAGTTTGGGTCTTCGAAGACGAGGTCAAACCAACGAAAGTGGTTCGCTCCCGCAGCGTGGCAAAGAAAATGGTCGCTACGTTTGTCTCGAAAAAGGAGCATGTTGCTACAATTCCTTTACAGGAACGCAGAACGGTTACTGCTGAGTGGTATATCATGATTTGTTTGCCAGAAATGATTTTCCCGAAATCCGAAAAAATTGCCCGAAACGTGGCATCGTCTCACATCATGATAATGCGAGCTCCCATGCGGCTCGGAAGACAAATGATTTTTTGGAGCAGGAAAACGTTGAGCTGATGAGCCATCCTCCGTACAGTCCTCACCTGAGCCCAAATAATTTCTTTACATTCCCTAGAATGAAACATGTATTGCGCGGGCAACGGTTCGAAGACCCCGAAGCAGCTGTGGAAGCGTACAAATCAGCCATTTTGTCAACATCAACTTCAGACTGGAATTACTGTTTTAATGAATGGTTTGCACGAATGGAAGAGTGCATTAAGTTGAACGGAGAATACTTGAAAAACAATAAAATACAATTTAGCTGTACCGTGCATGTGGTTTTTCTTATTCACTAAGTCGGTATTCACTTCAGTGTGCCCCTCCGTATAAATAAATTTCCGTGTCTTAAAAAAACAATATTTTTTTAAATTTATTTAAAGAAAAAATACAGTAAATAACAATATAAACATCACAAAAACCCTTACGGGTTTGTCTGGATGTTGAGACACTTTTGAGGTATCTGTTGACATTAGTTTATATACATTAGTATTTAATAAGAACATCAAATATAACATTAACAGTATGAAGTATGGGTACCTACATTGTTTACATAAAAGTGGACAAAAAGGAACCGGTTATAGATAAGCAGCTCGGCGCGGCTGGCGGCCGGCCAGCTTATTCTACTTGAATGTGTTATAGAGGATGTTTTGATTATCAATATGATATTACGTTAGGTTCGATTTTATTAAAATTAGACTACTTGTTATTAAAGTAAAGAATTAAAGTATTGCTTATATTTATTTTTATAGTGTTTGTCCGTTATTCCCAATTGGATTTTAGTAGGTATATCATTAACGAGGGTTGGTATTAAATACGCGTTCGTTCGTTTTCCGTAATAATTTCTAACTCTTGGTAATTCTAATTTTGATTGAGTTACTTTCCGTGTCGTTGTTTTATGATTCACTTTTATTTGTATTTCTTTGTTGGTAAATTGTTCCATTAATAGCCACATTATTATTTTAATATGAACAGGAAAGATTTCACAATATTTAAATGAAGGCTAATACATCGTCTCCGAAGCAGATTGATTTTTTAATTTTATCAGGTATCCGTATTTGTAGGCTGTATATTTTGTCCAAATAAATTGTGTACAGTTCGACAACGGGCGTCAAGGTGGACCATAGCTCCATAATCCTATCTGAAATAGGAGCAATAAGACGTATAAAGTCAGTGAAAACATTCAGTATCATTACATTTTCTGTAATTTGGAAAAGATGAAATAACTAACATATATATATATAAGTTTCTACAAAGCATATATTATCACCTATTTTAGTTAAATTTTAATTGTAACTGTGAATAACTTCATTAAATTCTATTTGAAACATGACTTAAGGAGAAATCTTTTTTAATATTTTAGTACCTATACATTTGCAATTATAACAGCTGTTTTTATAATTAACACGCTTCATAAATTTCCAGTCTCATGAATCGTAAGAGGATACTTACAAAGGACTATTTTAATTTTTTGCGTCTAATAAAACGTTATCAGTATTATGAATCCTCTGAAATTAAGGATCAGCGCGAATTATTTTTAGTTGAAATCACGACTTGCCTTCCTGTTAACTTGTCATTAAGACTAGATGCGGACGCTTTGAAAAAGTGTTTGTGTTTTCCCTTACCCACTAATTTTCTATTAGAGAATTTTTCCCGCATAAAATGAAATTAACGGCGCATAAAATTATTCACGGCAAATGCTGCATTAAATAATTAATCTCTCCTACAATTTAGATAGCTTATTGTACACGAACCTTCGACTTATAAAGCGGTCAAATGGCTTGTTTTAAATAGATAATAGCTTTCTGTTCATGTCGTTGCATTTTGTCCAGCCAGTGCCCTAAAAATTCCATGTCATATTAAAGAACACACGATAATGTTAGCAAGGCCTCCGAGGCTGTTTGCTTTATAAAATCGTATTTAATTAAATTTATCTCAAGCTTTAAAGAAGCGAAAAAAATTATATTTATTTATGTATTCAAAATAGTTAAATTTAAAGGATAATTTTATATAATTAGTGTTGTAATACTAGACAAATAGTTATAACCAAATATTTGTATTACATTTCCTCAAGTAGTACGTATCATAAGCACGTGGAGTGGTTAAACATTTAATAATTATAAATTTAATATTATTAATTGTCTAATAAAAATTTCTAATATATTGTTTACGGTTGTAATGTTTAACTACTCATATATTTAACATATATGCTTAAGTCAAAAAAAGTTGCTAATTATTACAGTAAATATATAATATCAATAAAGGCTTATTAAATGAGCAACAACGTAGCAAAAAAGCGAACATTTTCAAAAAATAAATAAATACATTCACTACAGAATATTATTTTATTCCTCTCTATACATTGACGTGACGGCTCTATAACACGTGCTACTATAGTCTACATATGTATTTATAAAAGCTTAGTTAATTTTTGTGTTCAATTTATTCTTTTAAAACCTCAGTGATGCTAAAAAATTACGTTAAGTCTTTAAGTTTTAAAATATCATCAAACTAAATATGGGGTAGTGTGTCAGTTGCTGAGCTAACGATTTCAAAAATAAAGATTTGAATTTTTTTATATGATCATTTAGCAGACCTACCTTATTTTTTTACAGAGACAAATATAAGACATTATTAAATTATTTGATTTACAGAAACAAGATGCTTCTTCTACTTATTATAACTTTTCTTTATTTATTATTTTGTACATTAGTTTTGTTTTGTATTCGACACATCATATGTACAAATATATTTTTATTTAATATTTTTTTCACTTATAAATTTTAAATTACGTTTGATTACACGTTTTTATAAACGATTATATGAAGGATTTGACGAAACGGGGTACTAACTGAAAACACGTGTTTAAAAACGCGATAAACTGCTGAGTTGTGAATATTTTAATGACACGAGTCGGGTTAGAGCTATTATTTTATATGTCCAGTCATGTATTCATTTGTTATTTTTTATCTCTTTATCTTTGTGATGAATTTATAAATAAACTTTTTTATTTCTATACGGTTGGTATTGTTGATCGAAGCTATTCGGTTTGTAATTCTACGATTAGTACTTCTGCCAGTATCCAAAATTCTTTACAATATAATTTATAGAATCAGGTGTTACTTTGCGGAAATCCAATAAATTGAATTTGTTAGAACTTAATTTACTTATTTCCGCATCATCAGTAATCCCAGCACCATCATTACTCAGCAACACCATCCCCAGAACAATAACTCGCAACAACATCACACTAGGACATTCGCGGATGAAGTAGACTCTGCGGTGGCTGAACGCTAAGAACTTCTTTACAATATGTTGATGTTGCACATTGCAAAGTTTTTGGGAAGGTTTAACGAAAATAATAATATCCGCCAGACCGAGTTCCGGTCACGGCGTTCCTGACTCAACGGAGACTAGCCATTGGCGCAGGACAGGATTATAGCGCCTAAGTGTATGCGCAAGCAAGCACAGGTGCACTCTCTACTCCCTCTCTCCCATTAACTCGATGGGACGGTAAATCGACACGACCAGAGAGACGTCAGGCGCAGGACCAACGGCTTTACGTGCTTTCCGAGGCACGAGGGTGAGCCACCCCCAACTTCCTGAACCCGGGCACCTACTGAGAATTTCTTGACGGAAACACTCAAAAATTAATTTTTTGGCTCGACCCTGGATTCGAGCCCAGGACCTCATGATCAGCAATCGAACTACTACAACCACTAGATCATCAAAGCAGTACACGAAAGTAGACAGTCGATGACGGTAGTATATCAAGGCGCGGACTCAATTGATTCATCATCTTTTTTTTTATTTGTAAATTTTCTGCTAGATAAAGACTTCTCCCGTTGTAAGGAGGATTTGCCTTAATCATAAGACTTTTCTAGCATTTCTCGTAGTTGTCTCTTACACCGGCAACGGTGCGGATATGGAGTGATCTGTTACGGCGTGGACTTCTCGGCGAATTAATAGTTTCATGTAATAGATCCCATTTCAGATACTACCACTTTTAAGAATAAAAATCTACTTCAAGCCCGTATAAAAATCATAAGACAAGAGCAAAACTCTGCTTGCGATTAAGCTCCCATCAAAACTTCTAACTATTTAATATGCTATACTAATTTTTTTATGGTAGGATTATACGAAAAAATAATAAAAGGCAAGGCAAGGCTTACCCGGATAGTAAATTGCTTCTTTCGTTACAGCGTATTTTGCTAAAGGTATTCGGAGAGTGCAAATAAACTCCGCAGGTGAAGGAAGGTTAGCGTCGAGCAACGTGACCGAAGCTACCGCGGAGTATCTGCCGTTCACCAGTTTCAATTCATGAGAAACTCCATCCAGCCTCCTTTCAATAAAAAATATAGTTTTTTAATATGAATATAATATGTAGCATTATGTAAAGTGTGACAGTGCGATGACTATTTTTACTCTCAGTATGAACTGCCCACTGGTAAACAATTTTGAATAGAAAAAACTACAAAACTTAATCAATTTTACTGAAAACTTAATTATTTGTTTAAATGAAAAATTCACACACACACACACACACACGCATGCACACAGATAGATATCCTCAAGTACGGGAATATTTAGATTTCAATTTTAATTAATTCGGATCTATTACAACATACATCCAATTGCAAATTTAAATTTAAATTAAAACTCCCGAAATCGATACACACTGTGTTCTCACAGTGTAAATTCATAAATCATAAATCTTTATTTGCAAGAATCACGGTATAAGAAGATGTTAAAATTTATACAGTGTAGTCGAGTTTAACTAACAATATAATATATAATGCAAATTATAATGTTTAACAGTTTACGTGACAATGTTAAGACTATTTAAAAAAATCTAAGTCATAAAATTATTAAGTTTTAACTAATTATACAAATGTTTCTTGTATCTATAATCATTCGCTTAACTATTCAAATTATTTAGGTTATTCATTATATATTTTTACACGCATAGTTAGGTATTTTTGTTATATTTACCGAGCCTAGGAATGAAATCTAAGACAAATTGTCCGGGTCACGTCAATTTAGGGATAAAAATAATGACTTATAAAAAAATTAACTAATTAAATTTCAGGGCATTTCTATTTTTTCCACTTGTATTTAATACTTGAATCCGCATCTGCATCTATACAGTGGCTACGTTCGTATTCAATGTAATAAAGTAAGTAACATCACGCACGAGTGTAACGATGTAGGCCGATTGTTGGCAATAAGGTGCAACCGGCTAGTAAGCCAATTTATGTGTAGAGCACACGTCTTTGATTTTATACAACCTCGACACGTTAGAAGTAATTAGTTCCATACGTTTAAATTACAATTATAATTGTGATTGTAATTTCGTTACTTTTTTGATAAAAATACTTTTCGAAACTTTATATATTTTTGAAAGAGTAATTATTTGCCTGTCTCTACTAGAAATAATTTATTGGTTTAAGAGCAACCTAAATGATTTGTTAACTCCCAAAACAGCGTTAATAGTGTACATATTTACAAATACTTAAAGAATAATAATATACTTTTTGGCCAAGATGGTGTTGTTATTTTCAAACTACACTACAAAATAATATAAAAGTTAGTAACGTACCTCTCAGGTGTGGCTAGCGTGAGGTTTGGTGCAGGAAACAACACATATGACGTTCACAGTATCATCGTCAGTCTTGTTCTGGATCAGGCGGAAGTTCGTCTCCGGTACTGAAACATGACACTTCTAAGGATATTTTCTAACATGCAGGTAAAGTTTAATGAATTGTATAAAACAGGCGCGTGCTAAGATGGCGAACTTCTTTCGCGTAATATTAAGTTTCACAAAGCATTTTTTATTCATTTTATACTCGCTCTTATTATGATATAATTATTTTTGTCGTTTACAGTTTCTGTTCACGTTTATCACATAAACTGACTTTTTAATACCACTGCTAGACATTTTTCATTTCAAGAACGCACCAGCTCACGATTAAACATAATAGTTTTCATACACAGGCCACCTGATGGTAAGTGGATGCTAGCAACTAAGATAGGATGCCACGTATCCAGTAAGAAGAGTGTCGGGTTCTCTACACTCACCATACGAAACACAGCAACATTTTACGCTAGTGTACTGTGAGAGCGTGATCCCTTCCTGATCGTGCCAACTCATCTGTGCTTCAAGTACAATATAGATGCAGCGTGGCCCTACCACGTATAAATAAGACTAGTGCCTTGTGGTGGCGTCGTACTATGGTGAATCACTATCCCATATAATCTCATGTGCGTCGTACAAGGCAACAGATGGACACAGAAACAGAAGATCAGCAACGGTATCTATCAAATGAGAAGTGAAAATAATAAAAAAACCGCGTCCCTGAGGTGCCCGCACTCGAATCCCGGGCGGAATAAGTGTTTGTATTGCTTACAAATAATTGTTTGGTTAATAAAGTATGTTTGTATGTCCTTGTGCAATTTATGTATGTAAACTGCCTCCGTGACACAGGAAAAGTCCTAGTACAACGTTACGGAGGTAACGTTTAAAAAATCACTCTGCTAAACTAAATATTTAGAATTAGGTCAGCATAACAACAAGTGGAACCACACAATGGAATCAGAGAAAACACGTACACGAACTATTTAAATAGCTTGTTCAGGTTGTTTAGTTTAGCTTACCTATGCTTACATGTGGTGAACACACAAAACATAAGAAGTTAATTTCGAATATTCCAGGCTTATGTGTTATCATCAATATACATATAACTAAAGTGCCATATCCTAGATCCTCAAGTACAACTCAACAACTCTTTACGTAATAAATATGTTGAGCATTTCAATTGATTATTATTTATTATTATATATATAGCATTCATTTTAGATTGTTAGTTTAATCAAGGCAGGTTTAGTTGATATATGCTATATTACGATTGTATATTAATTGAGAACAATTGGTTTGTTGTTTATTGCAGCCTGAATTTTTTTTTCTATAGGATAGGGTGACAAACGAGCACACAGTCCACCTGATGGTAAGTGGTTGCTGTGGCCCATAGACATATACATCTATCCTCGATTACGAATCAAAATGCAGATGCGTTGTCACACGTGAGGACTAAGATGGAATGCCTCGTTTCCAGTTAAAAGGGTCTCCGGTTCTCTACACTCACCATACGAAACACAGCAGCATTAAGCTACTATTTGACGCTGGTATTCTGTGAGAGCGTGGTCCTTCCCCAGTCGAGCCGACCTAATCGTGCTACAACTATACTACTAATATAACTGCAGCATAGCTCTACCACGTATAAATCTCCAATCCAATAAAGTCCTTAATATTAAACCGGACCGCTTTAACGACATAAATAGGTAAAAGGGTTCAGATATACTTCTAGGCAGAAAAACAATCGTTTCTAGACATAAATAACCTTGATATTTTGTTAAGAGTCGTAAGGAATTTGTAGAATATATAATTCAGATTATGCAAATTATATACTGTGAAAACTGCTCATAATGTATAAATGTACAAAATATAGTGTTTTTTTTATAAATGTAATCAGTGATCACTAATTCAATACCGTCCCCTTTAAACGATCATTTTCGTACTTTCTTCGATCTTTCTTTTCTTTTTCTTTCGTCTTTTGATACTAACAGGCTAATTGACAACTAGTCCAGTCATGATAGGGGTCAGTCATGATCAGGTTGACCTCGGAAAATCGACATACCCAGTATATTACCACATAAAAACTTGTATTTTGGCATCTTAAAACAGTTCTCACAATTCACATATAATTGGATGGTCGCAAGTTTTAAAGTTTTAAAGTATATTTTTTGCAAATATCTCGTTTTTTATGGGTTTTACGCTATTTGTATTTATTATCAATATTGTAGAAAATTAAATTCTCTACAACTTTTTTATTTAACATTTTTTTATACCTTGAACTGTTTTCGAGATAGAGGGCCTAGAGCGCGCGGAATTATCTGAGGTCAACTGGTAGTCTCGATCAAAAACTCGTAATATTAAGGTTATAATTTATGGTTAAACATATAATCATAATTTTTCATTAACTTTTAGATTAAATTCATTTTTTTGGTTATATACTGGTAATATACTGGGTATGTCGATTTTCCGAGATATTCACCTAATTTGGCCTAAATGACTGGACTAAACTGCAAGGAAACCCGCTTCCGTTCACATCAGAAACCACTTTAATGTTCCTCTTCAGATAGTTTGGTGGTATTTGCGGAAGATTTTTCCGTTTCGGAGTAATAATTACATACGTATGTTTTCAGAAACAGAAACAGAAACAGAAACTTTGTATTATATAAATTATGAACAATACTTATTGAAAGTCACTTTTTTCATTTACCACTGATTCGCAAAAAATCCTCTGTCCTGGGAAGAATCAGCAAGAAACCCAGCGGGACTTTTTTTTGAAATAATAGCTTACAATCATGTTTACAATTAACAACACAAGACAAATTAGAAATAGCTTGATAGCGATCACCCTTCCCAGGGGTTATTATCATCCATAAATTCCTTAATATTATAATAACCCTTTTTATACAAACTTAGTTTAATAAAATTTTTGAATTTGCGTATGAAAAATGTTGTATATTTTCTGGGATTTTGTTGTAAAAGCGAATACATGAATAAATTACTGACTCGGTGGAGTCAAGTAACTGGTACTACGAGTTTGTGTCTGTTCCTAGTATTTACAGAATGAATATCACTTATTATTGCAAAACTACGTTTATTCTTGTGTACGTACATTACATTTACATAAATGTATTGAGGGCAGAGTTAATATATCAATTTCCTTAAATTTTTGTATCAGTGACTCTTTTGGTTTTAAATTATATAATGCTCTAATGGGCTCTTTGTAAAATAAATATAATTTCAGTGTCAGTCGCGTGTCCCCATAGCAAAATACCTATCGATTAACTATCGAATAATTTTTGTTATATATTATATTTTTATACGCGATAGGGCCACCCTGCAGCTATATAAAGGTTGTAGCACAATTGGTTCGACTGGGAAGCACCACGCTCTCACAGAACACAGGCGTAAAATAGCAGCTTAATACTACTGTGTTTCGCAAAATGAGTGTACAGATCTGGAGATATTTTTACTGGAAACGAGGCACTCCATCTAAGACCATCGAAGAAGAAGGGATGACAACGCATATGCGTTTTGATTCTTAATCGAGGATAAATGAAGATGTCTATGGGCCACAGCATC